TGGCCGACGAGTGCGCGCGAGTCTCGCCGTCGGGTTTGTCGGCACTCGAAGTCGTGGTAGACTTCCGTCGCGAGTCCGACGTCAGGAAAGTCATTGACACCACTATTGAAGCCTACGGACAGTTAGATGTATTGGTCAACTGCGCCGGGTATATGGTTATGGCTAATATAATGGACCCGGATTATATTGAGAAGCAAAAGTCTATGTTTGACGTGAATCTCAATGCAGTCATACTGTTGACACAGTTAGCGGTCAAACATTTGGCAAAAACTAATGGCAATATGATTAGCATATCGAGTGTTGGGGCCATTAAATCGGTTATAAATTATTTACATGTTATTCGATAACAATCTATTATACAGTAGTATCGTATTAATGATTTATTTATCAGGGTCTAGGTGTCTCGTCTTATAGTATGTCAAAGTGTGCCATTAATATGTTCACTAAATGTATGGCAGTGGAGTTGGCACCCAAAAAGATCCGGGTCAATGCCGTATGGTATGTTTAATAAATAAATACTAAAGCATGTTTATTATATTTGTTAAAAAGTTCTATATTATTTACACTTACTATAATTAATCTTCAACATATTATGTAACTTTCAAAAATAGCCTTGGTGCAATTCATACGCCCAGTTTTGAGTCATTAAGTAATATGACCAGGGACGAGCTCAAGGCATTTAAGCAACGTTTGGCGGTTAAGTACCCGATTGGTCGTATCGGTGAACCATCGGACGTGGCCAATGCCGTAGCACACCTGGCCAGTGAGCATGCTACATTTATAACTGGCGCGTGCATGTTGGTCGATGGTGGTTACCTTAATAGTGTTTGTTTGTAAATATATTTGCACTGGATTAAATATAAATCAGAATATACTGTAGTTTTTTAGTAATGAATAATTTTATAATAATCAAGGGTAAATTTACATTATTTAATCCGGTTAAAATTAATTAAATATTAATATTGAACAATTACAATATTGTTGATTAATATGGAGTTTAGTTATTATTTAATATTTCAAAAACAAATATTAGTTATTAAAAGTGTTATAGTTAATAAGCTAGCGTTAACCAAGTAAAATATTTTAATAAAATATTATTGAAGTTATAAATATCATAATAAATATAATATTTTTCGATATAAACTAGTGTGCCACTATAATTGAAATTAAATATCAAGTGATTATTTAACAATAATCACAATTTATAACTTGATTATACTGTAACAATAGGCAATTAAAATAAATGATCTTTGCCAAATATTGTTGTTTTAGATTACACACGTTTCTCAACACGTACATTCATACGCTTAGGGGCGCCTATACGTAACATACGTTTATACTGAACCTGTCGACTCAACCAACTATGGATCCGATTAAAGACAATAGCATTAAGTGTTTACAAATCAATCTCAACAGAAAACGCAATGCCATGAGTACTCTAACCCAATATACAGTATATACGACAATAAATTGGACATAATTTTAGCTCAAGAACCGTATGAATTGAAAGGCAAAGTGTCTGGACTTCCGATGTTTTACAAAACAATTTATGACAAGAGATGTGATAGACCTAAGAGTGTTGTGATTATCGCCAACAGTAATATTAACCCAATTTTCATTCAAAGTTTTTCTAATGACTGCATAACAGTAGTCTCAAATGAATGCAATAATACGACTATTATTTTGATCAGTGTTTATCTGACCCCAAGCCTTACATTACAAGAGTTTGAAGTTTTGATTAATCATTTGCAACAAATTATTGATTCATTTAATAATAAACAAATAGTCATTTGTGGTGATTTTAACTCGCATTCAAAACTATGGTTTAGTGATACAAACGATACAAAAGGCGATCATTTAGTTGACTTTATTTCAAATAATAATTTTGTTGTTTTAAATAATAACACATTTAAGCCTACGTTTGAAGAAAATACCGGCGCCAAGTCTTCAATAGACATTACATTTTGTAATCTGAGGGAAAATAATTTGATTAACAGTTGGGAAGTGTTAGATGAAGACTTCAACTCAGACCACAAATACATCATTTAGTTTAGGTAGTTATGCCGACACAATGTTATACAAAGCTACCATCAAATACAAGACATGTTATGCCAATTGGGATGCGATTCGCGAGCAATATTTAGAATTTAAAAATGATATTTTAATAAATATTTGTGATATTAATAGTCAACAAAAACTCAATGATTTTGTATGTGATTTCATAACAGATATCATACAATTGTGTGATAAAAATATACCAAAAGCTAAACACAATACTTGTTTTAAAGGAAATAATTAGTGGACTCCAGAGCTATGCCAACACAGAAGTTGTGTCAATACTGCGAGGCGTCGATACCAGCGATGTCTGACAAATGAAAGACAACAGCATTTCGAAGACTATCTCCAGAAGATTGCTATTTATAACCAACTGATTGACAAAACAAAACGCGAAAAATGGAATCAGTTTGTGAGTGATAGCACCCGTGGAAACCCTTGGGGTATTGTATATAAAATAAGTCGCGACAAAATCAATCAACAATTTGCTTATGAGTTAAAAGACAACAATAATCGCCTTATAATAGAAGCTCAAGAAGNTATATAAAATAAGTCGCGACAAAATCAATCAACAATTTGCTTATGAGTTAAAAGACAACAATAATCGCCTTATAATAGAAGCTCAAGAAGTTGCCGAACATCTGATGACAAATCTATTTCCTGAGGACAGACCACAAGAAGATAGTGATCTCCACAAAAAAGTCCGACTTTTATCGGAACACACACAAAACACATCAAATGACATACCATTTACAATACTAGACGTTACTGAAGTTATAAACGCACAAAAACACAAGAAAGCCCCGGGAGTTGACGGCATTACCGCTGATATAATAAGATTTTTGCACAATATTGATGCCAATGTGTTCACCAATTTGTATAATAAATGTCTTGAAATTGAATGCTTTCCCGACATTTGGAAAATATTGATGCCAATGTGTTCACCAATTTGTATAATAAATGTCTTGAAATTGAATGCTTTCCCGACATTTTAGCAAAGTGTGGTAAAAGTGATACCAAAACCTAACAAAACAGATTATACAGTCAGTGATGCCTATCGTCCCATCAGTCTATTACCAGTTTTTGGGAAAATTTACGAAAAACTTTTGATAAACAGAATAACATATCATTTGAGAACTACTGGTGTTATAAATGAGAGACAATATGGGTTTACTGCCCAGAAGTATACCGAACAGGCCTTACATTCAGTCGTCGATTTCATTCAAAATGGATTCAAAAGCAAAGGCTTTTCACTCGTCATATCCCTTGACATCTCCGGTGCCTTCTTCTACTGTTGGTTTCCTAAGATATTAAGTCAACTGAAGGTCAAAAATTGTCCCAAAAATCTATTTTATTCAATGAAATCCTATTTCACGGAAAGGAAGGCAGAAATCAGGTACTTAAATAAGACACAAACGAGATCTGACTGTTGGCTGTCCTCAGAGAAGTTCCTGTGGACCTGGCTTATGGAATATAAGTTTCGATGATATCATGGATTTGTCGGATAATAGAGATGTAATCATCAAGTGCTTCGCCGACGACACCATAATAAAGATATTTGCAGATAATATACCAGATTTGGAGTCAAAAGCAAACGATATTTTGATTAAAGTCGAGAAATATGGCGTAAATAATAAACTTATTTTCAATGTCAACAAAACACAGGCAGTGCTATTCACCCGTCCCTTAAAATATAATCCACCGGTGCTTTCATTTGCTGGCAATACGATTGCTCTCAAGAATGAATTCAAACACTTGGGACTCTTTATTGATTCAAAACTAAGTTGGAGATCTCATTCAAATTATGTGGAGCATAGAGTGACACAAATCGCCAATAATTTACTGAGATTTGCCAAAAATAAATTTGGATTAAATCAAAATGCCATCAAAATTATATATACCGGAGCTATACTACCGATTATTAGTTATGCAGTATCTGTATGGGCGCCGGCTATCGACCGCAAGTTTGTAATAAACCCTTTGAACACAATTCAGAGGAGGTTTGCCTTAAGGATCTCAAAAGCCTACAGATCTGTGTCGACAAACGCTGCGAATATTATCTCAGATCTAATGCCAATAGATCTCTATTTGAAAGGGAAAGCCGTTCAATACTTTGCAAACAATCATATTGTGTGTGATTTGACAGACTTTTATTTTGAAGGAACCAGTATTACAGTCCATGACATTCAGACAATAGGCGTCAGACAACTACCACACTTTGGATTGAAATAACCATTGAATTCATTGCAAACACTCTGACACGGAATCCTATTATAATGTGTAAACAACACAGACACACATAATCTGTTAGGCGGCGTGCACAAAGTACGTATGCAAAATTTTGGTCAAAAATTGACCCCCCCTCCCCCTACACGCCTATCTTACATAGGAATTTAACATGGTGACATACGCTTTGGCATGACCCCCCTCCCCCTACCAGTGCATATGTACTTTGTGCACGCCGCCTTATTTGCATCGATTGTCAACCAATTGAGTGTAATATGTGTCAAATAACTCGTAGGCATGTCGGACGACGAGGCCAGTCGTATGGCGTCCCTAACCCGGACACTCGAGTTCAGCAAAGAGGGCGCTGTCTATGCGATTAAAATGATCGAGAAAGACAGGTATCTTGTCAATAAGTTCCAGTTGGGAATGGAGTGTGTTTTTCGCCATTTCAACAACAATACTACCAAGGTACTAGCCACTACAATGCTACTTTTAATTATGCATGTGTTTGACAAAAGAGTATTTAGCTTTAAAAATCGTAGAATTGAGCTAGAACAAAATAAATTTTTTGCAACTATTGTTTTCTGGCACGGATTTATCGGTGTGCCGAATTTTATCCAGACATAAGGGGAATGGTAGATATGTTTGTCCATCAATAACTCAAAAACTATAAGATGTAGGTATGTTTTGATTTTGGAAATTGTGTCCATGGTCAATATGAAAAAGGTTATTTCTGGATTTTGAGAAAATTTGCCTTATTTATTTTTAAGAATTCTTTATATGTGAAATTGTGATGATTTGAAATTCATTAATCTCAGCAACGGCTCAATGGATCATGGTCATCTCAACTTCGTTCGAATTATCTTTTAAAATACTAAAAATTATTTGCTTTCACCGATACTGTATTTTGTGGACAAAACATTCTAGATTAGATATAAATTTTCTCTGTGTATTTATTTTATACTTGTTTTATTGTTTGTGCACAGTATCGGTGCAAGCAAATAATATTTAATGATTGTTCTTATTTTTTAAATTAATTTTTAATGAATAATATTTTTAATTTTTTTTATAAATGATCAGGATTAGGGATCATTTAAAAATTATCAAGGCTCACTCTGGGCGTAGCCAAGCATATACTGGAATCTGCAAACTTGGCATATGCCATTTTATTCTACACTATTTTATGAGTTACTTAGGCTATTCAAAGTCGGCGAATGGCCAGATACTTCTCCGTACGGATGATGCCTCCTCCGTGTTTTTAACATGTTATTCCCTATTCATTGGCTAAAATATGCATATAAAAATGTTTTACTGGGAAATATATTTAGGATTACACTAAAACTCACCCTGACTAACAATATTAAATTGATTAATGCTTCATAAAAGCGTTAAAAAATCATTTGAATGATTTTCTCAATTATTTTGCGATTGTATTGTAAATTATTTTTTCAAAACATTTCATTGAATTAAACATTTAATCGATGGTTGAATAATCGTGTGGACAGTTGTATAGACAGTTAACATTGATTTATTATTTAAAAATAAACTGTTTGTGTATATTATATAATACGAAAAATGTTTGCAAACTATTGATTTCATTTAAAAAATATATTTATTTTAAAGTATTATGTAAAATGTTTAATACAATACATGTTTTATCATTACATTTTATTTGTATGATTTATTTGTGTTCATTTGATAAAAAAATAAAATTTCTCATTAGATACCTATTATTTATTAACATCTTTTGCAAATAATTTAATAATTTTAAATATCAGTACCATTAATAACTAGTTATGAGTCTAATGTGTTGTAATATTTAAATTTAATGATTGGAAAAATAATTTATATTTTATAATATTTTAATAGTTTTATATATAATAATCCAATTAATAATATATTCTAAAAATAGAAATATAATAATAAAATCAGTATTAAATACAGTGTATCGTAATATTTACACATACTGTACCTTAAATCCTTGCCATCTATTGATCCGGAATAGTCTCCAGCAATAAAATCCATCCCTTTTTTGGCCCAACCTTTCCATTAATGACAACAACTATTGGTTTGAAATATTAATTTAAATATAATTAATAATATAATTAATTAGTAGAAATTAAACCATACTTTGAATTTAATGTCAATAGATTTGTTGTATTGAATGGATAATGAATTCAAAAATTTATACGATTTAATGAATTGTTTGTTAAGTTGTGATGAAAAGTGTATTATTAAGAGAAGGCTTAAGAAAAACTCAATGCAAATGATGAGTAAAATATATCTAATAATAATTTGAACAGATATCACTATAAATATCATAATGCTTATCAACAAGCTAATTAATATCCAATAAATGCCCAAAAATATGGACCAATAGTTACGGTTGTATTCATTGGTTTCCAGAAAAATCTTATTATATTTTCTTATAATTAGATAAAACTTATTA